TCTGTAACCATGATGATGAAATAAGTGTAACATTTAGTTTCATTAAAAGGGGAGATGGAAAAACAAACAAACCAACAACAAAATGCCAGGTATTGGTGATGCACACCTTTAATCCCAGCACTTGGAAGGCAGAGGCAGGTGGATCTCTGAGTTCCAAGGTCAGCCTGATCTATGGAGTGAGTTCCAGGACAGCCAGACCAAACCCTGTCTCAAAAAACAAACAAACAAAAAGGTGGGGTGGATATGATCAAAGTATATAATACACATAAATGAAAATGTCATGAGGAAATCTATTACACAATGCTAATAAAAAGGGAATCTTTTCCACTTGGGACTTTGCAATATAAAATAGAAACTAGCAGCAATTCATAAAGATAATGCATTAAAAATAAAGTAGGACTAGGAATGTATCTCAGTTTGGTCAAATGCTTCCTTGTTTAGTATGTACAGAGTCCTGGGTTGAAAGCCCTGCACCACATAAACTGAGTACAGTGGCAAATGCTTCCAACCCAAGCATTTGGAGGCAGAGGTAAGAGGATCAGGAATCCAAGGTCATCTTCGGTATCATAGGAAGGCCACTCTGGGCAACGTGAGACTGCCTCAAAAATCAAAACCATGGGAGACAGAGGCAGGTGGATCTCTGAGTTCCAGTCTAGCCAGGGCTACATAGTTAGTCCTTCTCAAAAACAACAAAGCCAAATAAACAAAACCCCAGATATACAAAGTAGCTCTGTTTACTCCTAGGAACCACAGTGTGCATATTTAGGTGTGCACAGTATAATTCTCAACTAAATATGTGAAGCATTTTGAATTGAGTGCATGGATTTTAGGCTTTTATTCCAGTTTCTAAAAAACTGCTTCTACATCTCAGGTGTGTTACTTTTGTTCCTTTTATCAAGTGGTAGCTGTCCAGAACCCCACTTAATCCAGCACTTGAACAGTTCAAGTGTTACTTGCAAAAATAGGACAAGGGTGAATAGTGACCACAACTCCCACTACTGGTTATGTAGACTAAATGCCTAGCTCTAACTTGTCACTTCTTTTTTTTTTTTTTTTTTGGTTTTTCAAGACAGGGTTTCTCTGTGTAGCTTTGCGCCTTTCCTGGAACTCACTTGGTAGTCCAGGCTGGCCTCAAACTCACAGAGATCCACCTGCCTCTGCCTCCCGAGTGCTGGGATTAAAGGCGTGCGCCACCATCGCCCGGCAACTTGTCACTTCTTATAACCACATCCTTGTACGGGTACTTCTCCATGTCCTTCAGGTTAGGTGAATCTCCCCATCCATTGTATTTAGCCAGGTTGATTGATTTGGTTAACAGCAAGTAAGCAGAAGTGTTATCCCTCCTGAGTAGTTTAACTAGTTGTCTGAGGAGAATTAGGCATAGAAAGCCAACTACTCCAGTTGATCACAGACACTGCAAGATCTGCACAAGACTGGGCTCCTTAACATCCTACCACCGAGAGGGGGAGGTGCTAACTAGGCCCTCCCTGACCCCCCAGGACTAGTTGATGGAGAAGTAAGAAACATTTTCTTCAGTGGTGTAGCCGTTGGTAAGGTGTCCATACTCCCATAAACAACCCTAACTCACCAAGTCCAACACACAAAAGGGGTGGCTAATTGGGAAGAGGGAGATAATCCTAAGGACAAAGGAGGGTAATCGGTGTGTGTGTGTGTGTGTGTGTGTGTGTGTACTCAAAACGGGTAACACTTCTGCTTACTTGCCATTAGCCAAAGCAATCCACCTGGCTAAATACAATGGATGGGGAGATTCGCTTAACCTGAAGGACATGGCTATAAGAAGCACCCATACAAGGATGAGGTTATAAGAAGTGACACGTGCCAGGCGGTGGTGGCGCACGCCTTTAATCCCAGTACTTGGGAGGCAGAGGCAGGCAGATCTCTGTGAGTTCGAGGCCAGCCTGGTCTCCAAAGCAAGTTCCAGGAAAGGCGCAAAGCTACACAGAGACACCTTGTATCAAAAAACAAAACAAAACAAAAACAACAAAAAGAAGTGACAAGTGTGTGTGTATGTGTGATTAAAATACATCATGTACATGTATGGAGATGTCATGGAACCCATTATTATACACAATTAATCTAAGGTAATAAACACACTAGAAATAAAGAGCAGAGTCAAATATGGAAACATGTAGATGATTTGGCAGTTGCTGCTGGCAAACTGTCAAAACTCGCTGTTTTACACGGTAAGAAGCAACTACATAGGACCAAGGATGTGGGGAGATCAAGAGCTCAGAGAAGGCAATACAGTGACAGTCCTGCGCAAACATGAATGAAGTCCAGCCTCTTTCCATGGATACTCTTAAAATGAAAGTGTTTGGCCTGCATGTAAGTGTACCATACACCTGCAGTCCCTAGGGGCCAGAAGAGACTGTTGGATTCCCTGGGACTGCTACAGGTTGCGAACTGCAGTGTTGGTGCTGAGAACCAAGCCCAGGTCCTCTCTGAGAACATCAAGTCCTCTAAATCACTGAGCCATCATTCCAGCTCCAACTCCTGTGTGTGCGTGTGTGTGTGTATATATATATATATGGAGATGTGCACTGGCATATGTATGGAGATCAGTTCTATCATGTGGATCCAGTGATCAAGCTTCAGGTTAACCATTAATCAAGTCTTTGTTAATCATATCCATAAATTCAATTAGGTTGAGCCTCAAAACCAGGGCATTTACCCATTATATACAAATGCTAGAGCAAGAACATTCAAGGTCAAGTGTGGTGGCACACCTGTCATCTCAGCTGTTGGGAGGTGGTGGTAGGATTAGGAGTTCAAGGCCAGTTTCAGCCATGTGGTTAGCTGAAAGCCCGCTGGGCTATGTGAGACACCATCTCAAATCAGTATCTTAATGTAGTTCCGTGGATCCATTCAAGCAGGTGTTGCCTGACTATCAGTTGTTAGAAATTTCTGCTGTGACATGGCCGATATTAGCCTGAATGAAACTCATGCTCTACAAACTATTCACTGAAAATGGCGGGCTCTAGGGAAAAGAACATGACTGCAGTGAACCTGATCGATTATCTGGGTCCTGAGACACACAGATGGAGGAGGAAGCCTCGCCTGCCTCCAGCCAGCTTGGTAAAGACCTTGATCAGGACAATGGCATACATGATGTAATGGTGTGCTGGGTTTCGTTTGTTCCCACCTACCTCAAATACTAAACTGTCTAGTAAAACTATCTATACTAACACAGTTCTGTTCAGTCCAGACTAATAAAGTGCATGCTCAGCAGCCTCCATTTCTCAAATGCTGTAGTGCAGCCCAGGCCTGGGTTCTAAACATAAGTTACTTTTATTTAAAAAAAAAAAAAAAAAAAATTGCTGTTAGAAGTTACCCCAGGCCACCAGCCTTGTCATCACTGGGACTGTTGATCAAGATGGAGTCTCATCCAGCAAGAGGACTCAATGACGCTACGGACAACAGGAATGCTTTTTCTTTGGTGCTAGGGGTCTTGCAGTCTTAGCACGGCTGTCATCAAGCCAGAGTCCCAGCCAAAAGAAGCAAGCACTCCATCTGTCTTACCAGCAACAGGGGTCAATGCATTAACAGAAGGGCTGTGGGAGCAGTACAGGCAGCCTCACTGAGGATACTGCAAACCAGACTCCAATCCAGCATGGGATGAAACTGAATTTAAGCCCAGGGCTCAGCAGAAGCCACGGTTCCCTCCATTCTCCTCTGCACCTCAGGTATCTGGTACATGCCTTACAAGACCAGTTAGTTATCAGCCATCAATGAATAGCATCCAGAGACTATTTAATATGCTGCTCACATTCAGAATTACCAAAGGAGTTTGCAAAACTGTAACCAGGGGCTGGGAAGATGGTTCAGTGGGTAAGAATGCTTGCTATGCAAGCTTCTGTACCTGTGTTCAAATCCCCACCACCCAGGTAAAAAGCTAGGTCTGTCCAAATGCATGCCCACCACCCTAGTACTGTAGGGTAGAGATAGGAAGACTGCTGGAACTGGCAGCCTGCCAGCCTAGCTACAGGCTCAGAGAGAGATACTGTTCTCAAGGGAACAAGGCAGAGTAGGGAAACCAAGACACTGAAATTTAGCAATAAAAAAAAAATCTTTCCCAGAGAAGGAATACAGTTAAGATAACTAGATGCTAAGAAAAGTGTGCCTTTACCTGCTCCACAGAGAAGCCATGACCCTGTGCCTCTGTCCCACAGGCTGCAAGACTATTTTACTCATGCTGTAGCACCAAGGATTAGTCCAAATCACTTTAAACTTATTTGTTAGACGCTCGTGTGTTCAATTAAAAAGGTCAAAGGATATGCCCATTTGTCTAGTCCTAAAGCCTGCCTGGCTTTACAAAGAATCTGTAACACTTCTTTTTTTTTTTTTTTCGAGACAGGGTTTCTCTGTGTAGCTTTGCGCCGTTCCTGGATCTCGCTCTGTAGACCAGGCTGGCCTCGAACTCACAAAGATCCGCCTGCCTCTGCCTCCTGAGTGCTGGGATTAAAGGCGTGCGCCACCACCGCCCGGCCTGTAACACTTCTTAATCGGAAGCAATGTTTACTCAGAAAAACCACCCTCCCTGGACCCGTAGTTTGCACACTGGAGTCATCAGACAGGAGAGCCTCTGTTGAGGAAATGTCTCTGTGGGATCCAGCTGTGAGGCACTTTCTCAATTAGTGGTCAATGGGGAAGGTCCAGTCCAAGGTGGGTGGTGCCATCCCTGGGCTGAGTTCTCTAAGAAGGCAGGCTGAGCCAGGGGAAGCACGTCAGTAAGCAGCTCCTCCCCATGGCCTCTGCATCAGCTCCTGCCTCCGGGAACCTGCTGTTCCAGTTCCTGTCCTGACTTCCTTCAGTGATGAACAGCAATATGAAAGTGTAAGACAAATAAACCCTTCCGTTCTCAACTTGCTTTTTGGCCAATGGTGTTTTGTCGCAGCAATAGAAACCCTAACTAAGATACTCCCTAACTTCCAACTTGAACAGGTCCGTACACCTCACTGCAAACACACAAGAACAGACAATTTGGCAGCACAGAAAGTGGCCTTTATTTTACCATTTGTAGAAAACCGGCATTTAGATTCCAAGGTTCATATTAAAAAATTATCAGCAGTAGTTCTGAGCATTCAGCAATGCTGACAGATTCTCTGTTGCTCACACAACATAGGCTGTTACTCCATGCTCAAAAAGCAAGACTTGTCTAGAGTCTCTGCTACAGAGCTCAGGACCCATTTGTGACTGTGTCTTCTTCCATCTCTTCTTCACCATCATCACTTGGTCCTGAAAAAGCCAACAAAGGCAGAAGTCATGTCAATTTTGTACTATCTGTCCACTCGTCAGGCACATACACATTAGTAAAGTGAATACACACACATAAAAGGGCAAAGGGTGAAACTGGTATGAATTTTCCTGGAGTAGATGCAAGGAAGAACACAGCAAGTGACATCACGTGGCCGGCCGCCTTGCTGCGGCACCAGCAGGTCTTACCCACCACTGCTCTTGGCCCACCAGTGCAAATGCTACTGAATGGGAAGAGCAAACATCTTGGAGTTGTTACAGAAATAATTTACCTTGCATGTCCCCAGGGGCCCATGGCCATATAACAATGCCACCCATCTTAAAAATACCTTCTACCCTCTCCCTCAGGAGCTACTGGCAATCAATATCTGCTGAGGTAGGATGTCATTTTCTTTAGAAGTGCTGTCACTGTAAGCTGCCCTTGCTCCAGGTAAACACCCCTGCCTCACGCTCATGCAAGCACCATGACTAAACTCAGCAGGTCACAAAACTAAAAAACAAAACAGCTCAAAGATAAAGATCCTTGAAAAGCTGTCGTGGTAGTGATCCCCAGGGATACTTACACCAAAATTTATAGTATGTGTTGATTTGAATAATGTATCTTGAGTGCTCAACATGCTATTTTACACAAACTTGACATTCACACATTACACTAGTTAACATCTACCCAAAACCTGCCTTGTGCTAAGTGCAATTATCACAATCCTCCCCCAAACCTTTTGATGATAGTACTTATCTTAAATTTAAAGATGAAAATACTTGCCTAATATGAAGAAGCCTGCCCAAAGACAGTACTGGTCAGGCTCTATATATAGCCCATGCAGCTAACCACTAAATTACCACATACAGCCATACCTTCATAGGGATCTGTGTTTTCATGGAATTTTATCACTGGAGATTTTGTTGTTTTGTGAAGATAAACATGATAGAGCGCATACTTACACAAACTAGACGGGATAAGCTATTCAACTATCATCTGGTAAAGGTAATTATTTTTTTCTAAACTATGAACCTAGACAACATGTTACTGTTCTCAATAATGTAGACAACTGTAAAACAAAGCTAAGTATCTGTGCATCTATATGTGTGTAAACATAGACAACATACAGTAAAAATTTCAGGCTGGGCGGTGGTGGCGCACGCCTTTAGTCCCAGCACTTGGGAGGCAGAGGCAGGCGGATCTTTGTGAGTTTGAGGTCAGTCTGGTCTACAAAGTGAGTTCCAGGACAGCCAGGACTGTTACACAGAGGAACCAAGTCTTGGGAACCCACCCCACCCCCCTCCAAAAAAAACCCCACAACAAAACAAAAAACAGGCAGAATGATTTTTAAGCTGTGACTTTATGGGATCACTATTGTATATGCAATGTATCAGTTGATCAAAATGTCCATTATCAAGCATGTAACTTAGAAGTTCACAATCACCTCTAGAACTTTCTTTCCATGTTATAGAATGTTTTGCTACAACTTGTAAAGACCCCACAAATATCCTAATGGCTTAACTTTATTGCCCTGCCTCCCTACTTCTTTCCTTTCTTTTGGAGAAAGGGTTTCGTGTAGCTGAAGCTGGTCTCAAACTTGTTTTGTAGCTAAGAATGACCTTCAACTCCTGATCCTTTTGCCTCAACCTCCCAAATACGGGGATCCCAGGCCTGTGTTGTCATGCCCGCCAGGTACTCCTCTGTAATCATTCCCAATGGGACGTTTTGCAAGGCCACACAGAAGAGTTTCTGACCTGATCTGCGCTCTCTGCCAGGTATCTGGCCAGACTGTAGCAAGCCCTTCAGCCTCTCAACCTCTGCCAACGTCGATGCATTTGCGATGGCATTCTGGAAAACACAGGGAAAGGGAGAGGGATGATGACAGCCACCCAGAAGACACTACAGAAGTCCTAGCAACTTCCCCATAGGACATCAACGGCACAGTTCTGTGTCGGGTGAAGAACTTCACTGGCACATTAAACATCAACCTAGAAAACACACCATCAATTTTCAATATTTAGGAAGAGATTCAGGCTCTTATACTGGAGAAGAAGCAATCATTTCACATGCCCTAAAATTCAAGCTAAGTATCTGGAGTTCTGTTACAGGAGTTGTCAGCCAGCAAATCCTGGGAAGCAGGGACTCTAAGACTGCACTCCAAGGTTACTAAGTGCTCACAGGAGTCAGTGTATCCCAGGAGAAGGAGACACACAGATGCCTTCCATTAGTTCATGCATTTAATGCAGATCAAAGTCTGGTCAAACAGTAACTTCAGGTAGTTTGTTCCTGAAACAGAAATATACCAGCGTCCTAACAACCACGAGACAGAACTAGGCCACACCACTACCCTGGTCCCATCTCAGCTCTCTCCAGTCTGACAACCCCCCCCCCCCCCACCACACCCTTACCTTGATGGCTTCCACATCCCCTGCAGATGGTCCACCTTTCTTCTTGTCAGCTGGCAAACCAGCACCTGGATTAAAACTTGGAAGGGAGAACAAACCATTACAGTCTGACTAGTGCAAACTGCTTCTCTTACTTTCAAAAGCTTTTGAAAGTAATTCAACCAGTGTAGTATCTTATCTTTGTTAACAAACTGATACAGGAACTCTCGCCTTCAGAAACACCACCCGAGCCATCTTCTGATAGAGAAAACAGGATGTTTAACACCACATTAAGATGGTAAACCAAAATATATGCTCTGCTAACCTGGTAGAAATTTCCCATGATGCACAGACCACGAATGGCCAGACACCATCATTCAAATGTAATACCACACTAAGCACAGATTTGGGTTGAATTTGTAGGCGGCAAACTGCCAGACGATAGTGTTTCTGAAGGTGAAGTGGAGTTAAGTTGGATATCCGTGTCTTACGTTTTGCTTCTCCTGGCAATATCCTTTGCAAGCTGTGCACCCCGTTTGCCCTTGAACATTTTCTCTGCTTCCTGACGCTCCTACAGCGACACCACACACAGAGTTAATGGAAACAGGAATACCACATGCATTTAGATGCATTCCTTAGAAAACACCGAAGAGCATTCTCCTCAAGTATTGTGGGCTGGTAAAAACACCCAAAGCCAACTTCCACTAGGAGACACAGTGGTCCGACCTGCTCAGGCAAGCTCTCAAACAATCCCCCTCCTAGTTTCAGAGGGACTCCCAAGGGACTACAGAGAATTAGCACTTCCAACAAAGGAAAAGCCCTTCTAACAGGCAGAGCTGCTCAAAGCCGATTATACTACACTCCTTGTTGGAACACATCTAAGCAGACAATCCACTGGGAAGTTCTAGCATTTGGCCAACTTGGAATGACCAACAACTCCCTACCAAAAATTGCTATGAGATAAAAACAAAAACTAAAACCCCACAAGAACAACGAACAACCCTGACTTAATGCTTTCTTTCCCACACATTAAATTTCAAAGTAATGGTAACATTTACTTATTAAGCAACTTTAAAAAAATCAGTCATGAAAGTATAAAGAAAAGGCCAATTCTGTAATGACTCACAGCCAGTATGCGATACTCACTTTTAGTTTCACTTTCTGAAAGTCCAGTACTCTGACTTGTGGAACTTTATAGATGACATAAAGTCGGTAATGCTTCTTATTTGTTACAGGATTTCTTAGGATGCTGTAAAAAAAGGGACAGTGACAGTCACACTCACAGCATTCCATCTGAGAGGGTCATCTGAAAGTGTCATGACTGTCAGTCAAGAGGAAGCACACATCCTTCCTACTTTACTGTCACAAAAAAACACACAGCATCTAGGAAGAGCTGTTCAGTGCAGCCTGATGGCGTTATTTACGGACTTTATTATCACAACAAGCCATTTCCATACCTTAGATATGTCAGTGATTTGAGAGATGCCAAAGGATCCAGATCACCCTGTAAAATAAGGGTCAGAGTAAGAACAAGACTGATAGACACGCTACTATTCTGGTATTTTGAAATGACAAGTATCTTTGAAACAAGTATCCACATGATCTTTTACTTATTTTTTTACTCCCCTGGCACCTAGTCCAAAACTAATACAACACAATTGCCTAAATATCTTCCACCTAATAAGCTGATAAATATATTCTAGCTTCTTTAAGTCTTTGTAGCAATAGCACCTATTTCAATAGAAGAAAAAAAAATTTCCTATAGCAATCTCAAAATGGCTCCTAAGCAATGATTCAAAAATGAAGCCAATGCCAACATTGGTGATTTACTTGGAGCAAGCTATTTACACAGGAACCTCAAGCCAAGACCTTGGTTTAATGTGGGGTTTTTGTTGTTTGAGACAGAATCTCCTATAGCCTGGGCTGGCCTTGAACTGGCTATGCCACCTAGGATGATCTTCAATCCTGATCCTCCCAAGTGTTGGAATTATGGGTCTATGCCACCACACCTGGTGCAAAATGTCCTTTCTTGTTAGTATATCCCAAGTGGCCTGGGGGAGCATATTATCTTTGAGAGAAGGCACTGTTAGTTATCTTAGGCCACCCCTGCCCCCATCTCTGCAAAGACAAGGTGAATAGTATAGTTCAAAAAACTATGGATGCCAGTCATGGGGGCACATGTCTTTATCCCAGCACTTGGGAGGCAGAGCCAGACAGACTCAGTGAGTCTGAGGCCACCTATTCTACATAGTGAGTTCTGGCCAACCAGGGTTATGTATTCTCAAGTCTTCCCAAATTGTCCTGGAAACCATGATGGAACAAAGACAGCAACACTAAAAACCCACCATCCAAAGCTACAAGCAACTAGACAAGGTATTTCCTGGAACCCATGTAGTGGGAATAAGAGGGACACCAGCTGCAGAACTTGCACAGCATTTGTGCAGAAAGAAGTAGAGGGAAGGCAAGAAGGTGTATAATACACCACACAACTCCATAATAACCAACAGATGTTCAGTCTGAGAGCAGCTGCCTAAGGATCTGCATGTTCCAGTAAGTACAGGGAGATCCAGATAGGGGGTGATGAGGCTACAGCAATGTGGATCCTCATGTTGTCTTTTCTCCCATTTGGGACAAAGTTTTGCTATATGGTCCTGGCTGGCCAAACTGTGTCTCTACCAGGACAAAGTCCTACACTAAGGAAAAATCTGGGAGAGACCTAAGTTGAGTAACTCAAGAGGGACACCGGGAAATAGCATGGATGAAAGCAGGAGCACTCACTTCTGCAGTACACATGAAAACTGAAGGATACAGAGAAGGTCAGTATGGCCTTGTAAATGGATGACACGTACCTTTGTGAAGCGGTTCACAATTTTAAAAAGCAATGATAAAGAATAGTTCTCAGAAAGCAAGCAGCCATCTGCATGCCACCAGAGGGAGCACTAGAGCTTGAAAACTGGCTTACTACCATGAAGAGACTCCAGAAGAAATAAAAATGTCTGTTATACACGCACAGTACAGAACATAATGACAGCACGCTGATGGGTTTAAGAAAAAGAATAGCCAGGCCTGCAGACCAGGGCTCAACGAACACCTGAAAGGTTCTAGACTCAATTTTTGATTCTATAATCTATCAAGGCAGTGACTCCAGAAAGACCCCTTGCTGGGACCTTCTACACCCCAGCTGTATGCTGGTAGAGCACTGGCTTTAAAGATGGGTGTAGTGGCCGGGCGGCGGCGGCGGCGGCGGCGGCGGCGGCGGCGGCGGCGCACGCCTTTAATCCCAGCACTCGGGAGGCAGAGCCAGGCGGATCTCTGTGAGTTCCAGGCCAGCCTGGGCTACCAAGTGAGTCCCAGGAAAGGCGCAAAGCTACACAGAGAAACCCTGTCTCGAAAAACCAAAAAAAAAAAAAAAAAAAAAAAAAAGATGGGTGTAGTGGTTCATGCCCATAATCCTCGCATTTGGGAGGCTAAGGCAGGAAGACTGTAGTGAGTTCAAGACCAGCCTAGGCTACATATGGAGTCGCAAGTTAGCCTAGGTGACAAAGTTAAGAGACTGTCTCAAAATACAATACAGGCTAATAGTTGATCTAGGTTGCCTACCAGAAACTTGATGGATGGTAAGACCTTACTGGTGAAGACACCAAACACTTTCATCACAGGACATGAGAAATCGAGTTGGTACTACTGACCAGGAAGCTTCTTCCCAGCTGGCTAGTTTTCATAGTACCAGAGTTCTATGCAGGCTGCTGAGGAAAAATGTCATCAACAGTCATACTCAGCTGTGAATACTGTTAGCTCAGTAACGACCACATGGCAAGATATACCCATGGGCGCAGTGGTGGCACAAATGTTAGGATATAAACAACCATCTTCTCATCTGGTCTAAGACCCACTTCCACAGGAGGAAATGCATGCCCGGCACAGTAAATCTGGCTAAGAACCCACAGTTGGGCAGCTCACAGGCCCTAGAGCTGACCTTACTATTATTATTATTATTATTATTATTATTATTATTATTATTATTATTATTATTATAAGTGGACACAGCATCAAACTGCCCTCTAAATATGTATCTCTATCCCCACAGATTAGTAGTGCAGCTCCTGGACCTCATCAGAGAAGTTTCTTTGTGGAGTGGATAGTAGTATATGAAGAAACTCCCAACCACCCAAAGTGTAGAGAATATGTGTTTCTGCAGGGCTGAGCCACAATGGGACACCTATACCACACCTCTTCTCCACAAGGCTCATAGACTATTGAGGAGGAAAGGCAAGTGGAAAGACCAAAGAGCTAGAGGTGGGGAAAGACCAGGCAATACAGTGTCTTCTGAACATGGCAGGACCACTGCACTCATGGACTCAGAGCAGCTGTGGTCATCTGCACAAGACCAAGCCAGTCAACATTCCAGCATGGAAGGGGGGGGGGGGGGGGGCGGGGCTCACAGCATCCACCTCTACCCTAGGAACTTTCCACAGCTGGAGCAACTAGCAGAGGGAAGAGTCAGTACTCTTGAAGGGTGGGGCTCCTGGTAGGTCAACCATTCTCCTGTAAATGGCCCCATACCCCAGAGCTATGGCCAGCACAAACAGGACATGATGAGTTAAAAAGGGGGTGGGAGGGAGTGGTGCTAGGCATGGTACCACACTGCAACCCTGCACAACATAGAAGGAAAAGGCAAGTCTCGACAGAACATCAGAAGCACTAATGATAAGACTGTATGGGAACTTTCCTACTCAGACACCCAACATAGTCAAAAACCAAAAGGCACACCCGAAGGGACAAAGAGATCTTGGATATACATTATCCAAATGCCTTGCTAATTTCCAGCACATAAACCAAACCAAAACAACCCAAACCAAAATTAAACAAAAACTAACATTAAAAAACCAAAGGCTTGGAATAGTAAAATAATTATGAAGAAACTCAAAGAGAAACTCAGAGATAATATTTTGAGGCAGAAGTACCCTTACCTTTCCCCTTAAATATAGCTTTCTCCATCCGACTTACCAGTTCCACTAGACTGTTGTTGGTGAGGATGAGCTCTGTCAGACAGGGGAGAGCCTGGTCAAGTCCCTCACCTATTCGGCTAAAATAAAAATGGAAAGATCCTCAGTGAGAGTGATAAACAAGCTAACATTTACCTCCATCCTTGCAAGTATCTAACACCTCAATGCCAGAAGACCCCTCTCCACATCCTGTCTCAAGGAGGGCAGCAAAGAGGAGGCCTTGTCTGAGGCACAGAGTCGGTAACAGGGATGGGATGACCTCAGAAACCCATGCCTCCTGGGCTTCTTTCCACTGCCAAGTGCTCTAGTGCAGCCCAAAGAAAGGTGAGATTCCAGAATAGACAAAAATTAGCCAATTTAAAACTTTTTGTTCAGAAAACTCAAACACCAATGACTCTGCATTCACAGAGCTGGTGTAACACATTCACCCAAAGAAAATGTTAATCATGAAAATGGCTTCTACCTAAAAACACCACTCAGTACTTTTATGTGTATAGGTGTTTTGCCTACACTTATGTCTGCATACCAATTACGTGCTTGGTGCCTGTGGAAGCCAGAAAAGGGCCTTGAATTCCCTGGAACTGGAACTAGAACTGTGAGCGGCCATGCTGGTCTGGGAGAAAAACATAGGTCCTCTGAACTGGAAAAGGAGCAGTCAGTACTCTTAACCAGAGCCACTTCTCCAGTCCCAGGACTCTTAATAAAAGCTTTGCTTTCAGCAATCCAAGTCCCCTGACAATACTTCCCACAAGAGCTATAGACCCTAACAGAAACATCAGTACCAGGTATGAGAAATCTTCTTTAATAACTATACTAATATGATTTTTATATAAAGCTGATAAACAGCCAGGTGGTGGTGCACACCTTCAACTCTAGCACCTGGCAAGCAGAGGCAGGCAGATCCGGAGTTCGAGGCCAGGCTAGTTTCCATAGTGGGTTCCAGGACAGCCAAGGCTACATAGTGAGACCCTGTGTCAAAAACATAAACAAAACAAATAGGATCTTGGTGGGGAATATTATTTTAAGGTGTGTTACTTTTGTTTAACTCTGTGAAGCTGTGTTACTGTGTGTAAATACCGGATAGTCTAATAAAGAACTGAACGACCAATAGCAAGGCAGGGGAAAGGATAGTTGGGGCTGGCAGGCAGAGAGAATATATAGAAGGAGAAACCTGGGAGTAGGGATAAGTAGCCAGAGAAGGAAGAGGACACTAGGGGTCAGCCACCGAGCTACACAACAAGCCACGGAGAATTAAGATTTACAGAAGTAAGAGAATGGGAAAAGCCCAGACACAAAAGACAGATGGGTTAAGTCAAGAAAAGCAGGCAAGAAATAAGTCAAGCTAAGGCCATGCATTTCTAATTAAAAATAAGCCTCCATGTATGATTTATTTGGGAGCTGGGTGGAAGGCCCCCAAAACAGCAAAAACAAACACCAACAGGATCTTTTTTTTTTTTTTTTTTTTTTGGTTTTTCGAGACAGGATTTCTCTGTGTGGCTTTGGAGCCTGTCCTGGAACTCACTCTGTAGCCCAGGCTAACTCAGAGATCCGCCTGCCTCTGCCTCCCACAGAGTGCTGGGATCAAAGGTGTGCGCCACCACCACCTGGCTTCCAACAGGATCTTAATTTCACAGAATCATATTCTAGAAGCCAACTACAAAAAACAAAAACAAACAAACAAAAAAAAACCAAAAAAACCCAGCAGGATGTGTGAAGTATAGGCTCTCGGTGAAAAGTAATTTTTATTTTATAAAAGTAGAATATGAAATGTACATATAGCAACATGTTTTAAATTTAAACTCAAAGTTTAGTATCAACTACAAATATTAAAGATCTGTGAAGAGTGGCAAGTATGGTCAGACCAATGCCCACGTTAATCTCCCAATTTCTTAGGAAAAGTGCTCCAATCACTTCTCCCTTAAGACCGGATAGATAAGGAGAGGCTGGAGAGCTGGCTCAGCAACTGAAGAGAGCTGGCTGCTCTTCCAGAGGACCCAGATGCTAGTCCTAGCACCCATGAGGTAGCTCACAACTGTCTGTAACTCCAGCTCCAGGGGAACTGACACCCTCTCAGAGGACCCAGCTTCCAGTGCTAGCACCCATGTGGTAGCTCACAACTGTCTGTAACTCCAGCTCCAGGGGAACTGATACCCTCTTAGAGGACCCAGCTTCTAGTCCTAGCACCCACGAGGTAGCTCACAACTGTAACTCCAGCTCCAGGGGAACTGACACCATCATCTGGCCTCTGAAGCACCAAGCAGGTATGTGGTACAGACACACCTACAGGCAAAACACTAATATACATAAAATAAAAATTAAAATAAAAAAATACAGGTGTCTTCAGGGTACATTGTAACATCTACTTCAGGGAAGAAAGTATTCTCACTAGCAGACACTCACCAAATTCTGTTGTTGTTCACTAATAATGTTTTCAGTCTTCTCAATAAAGGAAAACCATCCAGTTTCCTGATCTCATTGTCAGAAAAATCAATAGCATCAAACTGGTCTAAAGTAGCACCTAGATTTTCAATGACAGGAATTTTATATCCTGTAGAGGGGGAAAAAAAAAACCACATACAACAAGTATTAATATAAATGAAAGGTCCTGAAAACAGCAGGAGTACTTGATGGTAATTAGACTCCAAGTATTCATTCTAGTAGTATTCAACTGGCAGGGTGCCACGAAGCGTGTGGTCGGGCACTAAACTTGAAGAGGTTGAAGGCAAGAACAAGAACAGATGAGCACACTTACTAATATTGGTGTCCACTGCTTATATGTCACACTGTTCCAAGTCCTTAGAGTTATTAGGCTCCATGACAAATTAACATGCTTGCTGTTAACGCCCAAGCCTCACTTGGACACTGGTGACAAGCGTTCTCAACCTTTTGAATAACTCATCAGTAAGTATATCCTCATGGTATCCTGACTCACCCTCCTCTCCACCAGCTCCAATTCAGAGCTGAAAATGGGTACAGACAGCTACAAATCACACTGGGAGCATCCCCTTGATTGTCAAAATCATCCAGGTAGGTACCAAAGGAAGAAAAGAAATTTAATACACAACTCAGCTGTGAAGGAGTGCAATAAAATATGGTACCAAAATAAGCATTCTCAAGACTGCATGGTCTTCAGAGATGCAGCAGAGACCAAAAATGAGCCAGGACAGTAAACGGGTCCAGATGCTCCTGAACTGGACCTTTGTCTAAGAAAGTTAATTTCAACTAATAACAGCACCAGGACTTCCTGTAGGTCAGCTAGGGATTTTAGCAAATGGCAGAGCATAGTCTCCTGAGGCTGTGGTTGCCTCAGGTCAGGTATATAATCTTAACCCCTTTCAAAACCATCTCCAGAAAAGTTGTTGATAATTGCAATTTCAATGCTATGTGGGGTTATTTGTTGTTGCTGTTTGTCTTGTTTTATACAGGACAGGAGACTAGGCTGGCCTTAAACTCAAGAGATCTGCCTGCCTCTGCCTTCCAAGTGCTGGGATTAAAGGCTACCACCGCCCAGCTAATGCTGTTTTTTGTTGTTTTTTGTTTTTGTTTTTGGAGACAGGGTTTCTCTGTGTAATTTTGGTGCCTGTCCTGGCTCTCGCTCTGTAGACCAGGCTGGCCTGGAACTCACAGAGATCCGCCTGACTCTGCCTCCCGAATGCTGGGATTAAAGGCGTGCGCCACCGTCGCCCGGCCTGCGAACGCTATTTTTTTAAACTAAGCTCTACTCAACAGATGCGAGTGTCCACCACCCCTCACATGGAAATGATGATTAAGCCTTGGCCAAACAATTCAATCTTGAAAACACCTTCATAAAAGTGAACTATCAGGGGCTGCGGATCTGGTTCTGTGGGGCGAGTGCTTACTCAGAACGCACAAAATCCTGGGCTCATCCGCAGCAGCACCGTATAAACATGGGGCACACATTAAACCCAGCACCCGGAAGTGAAGGCAAGAGGGTCGTAAACCCTTAACTATATAGCGGTTTGAAGTCAGCTCTGTCTCAAAAACAAATGAACATCAAACGGGAATTACTGTATAACTAAGACAACTTTGACTTATATCTAATCTATCCTCACGTGTCATATTAACTCATTTGTTAAAAACCAGCCGGTCTCCATCCCGCATTAACCATTTGCCTATTTTCCTGGCCCTCGAAACAGTTCAGGCTGCTGAACATGCCGGGCAAAGCCAAACGAGTAGGGACCCGGGAAGGAATCGAGGAGCCGTGTCCGCTAGCAGGAGCGGGAAACAGATGGCTCCAAAGAGCCCCGCGGGACCGTCGATCCGAGGTACCCGAGACCGGGGCGGCAGGCCCGGGCCAGGCTCCGGCCTCAGCGCACGCGGCGGGCCGGTTTCTCCCGGGCGCGCGCCGAGCCCGGACACAGCCCGCGCTCCGCCTAACTCACCGCGAAGGTCCAGCTCGCGGTCCCGCACAGCATTGGTGTACTGCGCCGCCTGCTCGATCAGCTCCGCCGTCAGCTTCACCATCCTGCCGCCGCCCGAGTCCCCTCACCTCGGCCACCGGCCCGCGCCTCCCGCCAGTGCCGTGTCCCAGAGTGCACCGCGCCGCTCGGCCAGGCATCAACAATCGAAGCCGCGCGCGCCTCGGCCATCAGGCTAAAGCAATAGAAGGCGCCGCCGAGCGTTGCGCGATCGTCGTCTTGGCTTCTAGGTTCTGGGCTGGAGCGTTCCTCGGGTGTGGAGAGCCCAGATTCCAGACATTTGTGGCCAAAAGATAAGAGCATGCTAGAGGCACTCTTTCTTATTTCAGTGCACCTCGAGGGAGGGGTATTTGGGATTGTCGTCTTCTTCATCCAACAGGGGCTGGAGACTCCGTGAAGGCTCCAGGGATTCAGGTCCCCAAGGGCTTGGGCTTCCAGCAGAGACAAGGCTGGGCCAGTCAGCTGGACTGCCTTAAGATGGGCCACATCCTACCTAGTACTGTCTGTCACCTTAAAGCCTCAGGGTGGGCTTGCGGCCTCTAGACATTTAAGTATTCGTATGGAGGGTCTAACTGGTGAGATGGCTTAGAGGTTAAGAGCATTTACTGCTTTTGCAAAGGACTTGAGTTCACATTCCCAGTACCCAGTTGGGCGCCTCACAACTGCTTGTAACTACAACTTCAGGGGATTCGTCACCCATTTCTAGCCTCCTCGGACACCCGCTATCACAAAGACACACATATATACATAAAAATAAAATAAATCTTAAATGATATTCATATTGTAGGCCTGGCATGACGGGGAACGCCTTTAATCCCAGCAGTTGGGAGGCTGGATCTCTGAGATTGTAGACCAGGCCACCCTGGTCTACAGAGCAAGTTCCAGGACAACCAGGGCTACACAGAGAAACCCGGTCTTGAAAAAAACAAACAACAGCAGCAAAATTCATATGAAGAGCAGGCTAGTACACACATCAGAAGCCTGACATTTGATGAATGCCAACAGAGTGAACACAACACACCTGCAGAGCCTTGGCCCCTGTCCCCAAAGACAACCGGAAGCCCAATTTCACAAATCAATGTGCTCATTTTTGATCATAGCTTATTAATTTGTGTATATGCCACCTGTGTGGGTGCCAGGGGAGGTATTCGGCCTGAGATTCCCTGGAGCTAGCCGTTGTGATCCTGTGGACATGTGTACTACAAGCTGAACTCCACACCTCTGCAAGAGCAGAAATGCATTCTTTAAATCATTTAAAAAATTACCCGGGTATCTGTGTGGTTTTGTGCACATGGATGCAGATACCCACAGAGTTCAGAGGCACCAGATTCTCTGAAGTTGGAGTTACAGGTGGTTGCTGGAAATGAACTCAGGTCCTCTGAAAGAGCTGTATACACTCTTATCAGCTGAGTCATGGGAGCGTCTCACTCTCCTGCCTTCACCTCCAAGTGCTAGGATTATTGGATTGAGTTTATGTAGTGGTGCGGATGGACTCTTGAGTTGTTTGTGCATGCTGAGGCAAGTACTCTCCTAACTGAGCCACATCCCCAGCCCGGATTTTGGTTATTCTAAGACAGGGTTTCACACTGTAGCTCAGGCTGACCTGTAAGTCACTGCGATCCTCCCAACTCAGTCTCCCAAGTGCTGTGGTTACACACAGGCACTACTGAAATGGCTAAGGCAACACCAGCTTGTCCAGCACCAAGAGATGCTAATAAAGGGACTTAGATACTCCTAATTGGCTCAGTTATTCCGATTGTCAATAACTATCTCATGTGGATCATTTCACCACCATACAGCTGAATCTGTTTTTTTTTTTTTTTTTCTTTTTTAGACATAGGGTTTCTCTGTGTAGCCCTGGCTGTCCTGGAACTCGCTTTGTAGACAGGCTGGATTTGAACTCAGAGATTCACTTGCCTTTGCCTCTTGAGTGCTGGGATTAAAGGCATGTACCATCATGCCCAGCTATAATCATTGCTTGCTTATTTATTTATTTATTTATTTATTTATTTATTTATTTATTTATTTATTTATTGTGTATGGTAAATGAATCTGTGCATACACCAACATGCTCAGCTATGATCATTGCATATTTATTTATTTTTATATTTTTTTGTGTGTATAGTAAATGAATTTGTGTTTGTGGGTGCACCTACCTGTGGGCATCTGGCGGGTAGAGGAGGGAGTAAGTATCCTGCTCTAGCACTCTGTGTCTTATTCCCTTGAGACAAAGTCTCTCACTGAACCTAGAGATAGGCTGGCAGCAAGCAAGCCCCTCAGTGATCCTCCTATGTCCATGTCCATTTTATCCCCCAGCACTGGGGTTATAGACCCACACTACAACACCTGGCTTTTTATGTGGGTCTTGGGGACTTGAACTCAGGGTCTCATGCTTGTGCAGCAAGCCCCCTTCATTGCTGACCCCTTTCCCTAGCCCTTGGTCTTTGGTTTTGATAGATCATGCTTCAGCACCGAGAGACTCTGAGGCAGTATGCTTTTTGCCTAATAGAAGCAACTTAATGACAGAAAGGTTCATTTTGGCTTACGATTAGGAGATTGATATATATATATATAATTGATATATATTATATATATATATATATAATCATTGTGGTCATGATGTAGAAATTATGGCTGTAGTCATTTGAGGCAGCTGGTCACACCACATCTGCAGTCAGGAAGTAGAGAGAGATGAATACTGTATCCAGTTCACTTTCTCTCTTTTTTTTTTTATTTGGCCATGAACCCAGTTCATGGGATAGTATTACCTTTATTCATGGTGAATTTTTTCCATTAAATTTATCAGGAAATGTCCCCCAAGACACACTTCACTAATGCAGACTGCCGGGAATCAATCTGGAATCAATATAGAAAGGAAGTGAGCAAGATGTGCTTTTTTCCCCATCTGAAAATTAAGTTGACTCAGCACCATATTTAAAGGCCATCTTTTCCACACTGCTCTCCAAAGCCCTTCTTGTCAAAAAGCAAGTGTCCAAACTTGTGACGGTCTGCTTTTGGACTAGCCATTCTGTTCCATGGGTTTACTTACATAATATCATACTGTTTTAATAATATGTGCTTTATAAAAGAACATTCAAGCTTCACTTTTTCTCATTACATTGGTTATTCTTGTCCTTTATAGATTTTAAATATAAAACTTTTTATCTTATAAGCTACATCTTATATCTGAAAAGATTCTTTATACTGGGCATCGGTGTCCCACACCTTTAATCCCAGCACTCAGGAGGCAGAGGCAGGTGGATCTCTGTGAGTCTAATGACAGTCTGTTCTACAGATCGAGTTCCAGGATAACTAGGGCTATACAGAAAAACCCTGTCTTGGAAAAAAAAAAACCAACCCAAAACAGCAACAATAAGAGATTCCTTGATTTGTACTATATTGAGCCTGAAGGTAAATGGGAAAAAATTAATATTCTTACAATCCTGAGAATGCTAGTTTCCAAACGTGGTATAACTTTGCATTTATTAATTTTTTTAAAGCTTCAGGCGAGTTTGAAATTTTCTTTTAGAGACCTTTCATAAAGTTTAGTGTAGTGTAATCATTTGTAAAAGTACCTTTTATTGATGAGTTCATGTTCTAATTTTTTTTTTTTTGGTTTTTCGAGACAGGGTTTCTCTGTGTAGCTTTGCGCCTCTCCTGGAACTCACTTGGTAGCCCAGGCTGGCCTCGAACTCACAGAGATCCACCTGGCTCTGCCTCCCGAGTGCTGGGATTAAAGGCGTGCACCACCACCGCCCGGCCCATGTTCTAAATTTTAAAGTTTATTTATTGATTTAAGTTTTGGATATGTGTGCTATAATCTGCATTAACACTAGGTAAGGGACCAGCAGGAGGAGAGGATCTTTCAAGGAAGGGAAATAGAATAAATATAGAGTTATAGGGAGACAAAGAGGAAACTGGAAGAGGGGATTAAATGGGGAGGGGGAGGGGAGAGCAGAGTAAAACGGGACCATGGGGAGGGACAACTAACACTAAAGGCCATCTGAAAAACCATATGGAAACCTACTACTGTAGAAGCTTCCTAAAATATATATGTATATGAAAGGAATCTAAATGGAGTCACCACATAATGGGAGAAACAGTGCCCTAGCTAGACATCTTATGCCACCAAGTAAAACCTCCAGTGCCCAGGGTTACATGTAGTTGACTCCTTGTTCAAAGTGGCCCCATGTTATAATGCAAATTTTACAGAAGTAACCCACCATTTTTTATTCCATTCCATGAAACTCATACCTGACACTGCTAAAGTGGCCAAGAATCTGAGACTAGAGAGGTCATGGGCATAAGGGAAAACCTACTATTTTTTCTGCTAAAGGAACATAGCAGTAAAATGATGCCTAATGAGATATTGCTATCCTCAGAGATCAGTGCATCTCTCAGTCCTCATCAGAGAAGTTTCTTCTTTCAGTAGATGGGAACTAAGACAGAAACCCACAACTGGACAGTGTGCAGAGGGGGAGAGCCTTTGGAGCACTCAGTCCTAAATGGGATATCTCTATCAAGCCCTGCATTAGTCAGGGTTCTCTAGAGTAAAAGAACTTATAGAATGAATCTATATATACACACGTAGAAAGGGGATTTGTTAGAATTAATGTCAGGCTGTGGTCCAGCTAATCCAACAGTGGCTGTCTATGAGTGGAAGGTTCAAGAATCCAGGAGCTGCTCTGTTCACAAGCTGGATGTCTCCAGCTGTTCTTCAGTATATGCAGGATTCCAGAAGAAGTAGGCTCTAATGCCAGTGAAGGAATGGACTTGCTCTTGAGGGGAAGAGCAAGCAGGCAAAGAGAGAGGCTTCCTTCTTCCATGCTCTTTATATAGGCTTCCAGCAGAAGGTGTGACCCAGATTAGAGATGGGTCTTCACACCTCACAAGGTTTAGACTAAAGGTGTGTCTTCCTACCTCAAAGATTCAGATTAGAAGTGGATCTTCCCACTTCAAATGATTTAACTCAGCAAAATTTTGTCACAGGTGTGCTTAGCCATTTGTGTGTGTGTGTGTGTGTGTGTGTGTGTGTGTGTGTGTGTGTGTGTGTGTATGTCAGTTATTTCCAGATGTAGTCAAGTTGAAAACCAAAATATCCATCACACACTTC